ACAGAGACCGACAGATGAGCGTTTTCTGTGCATAGGTCTTTTTCCAGGGGCGGATTTTGTCCCTTGTCTGAAACACGCCCTGTTTGAACTCTCCTGTTCTTCAGACGTTTTATATCCAAACTCTTTACACAAAAAGGAATCTTCAAGGCCATACCTTTTCATTCTTTCCATTATTTCCCACGGAGATAAATTAATTCCGTAAGTATTCTTTTCTTGAAATAACACTTTACTGCTATATCTGGATTCCAGCTCTGAAAACAAACAAAAGATAAACACGTGACACTCTCCCAATCTGGATGAAATAAACAGATAAAAGTTATTAGAATGGAAACCAAAAACATAACAGAAAACAAGTCTAAACCGGGTGTGATGGCATGTGTCTGATTCCAGCACTCCAGACGCTGAGGAAGACGCTTTGGTTACACATACAGGCCAGTCTGAGCTACATCATAATATTGGCTCAAGACAAGGAAAACAAAACAAGACAAAGCCAACAACCGAATGGGCTAGAACCCCGCCCCCACATCGTGTGATTTGAAAATAAAAAGTGATACAGTGATAAAGAAAAAAATAATGACCAAATGATTAGGATGTAGATCAAAATTTGAGAATCTTTACTTAAAATTTATTTTTAAATGGTAAGTATTTCATATGTGTTAGCTTGCATGAGTTTATGTGCATCACAAATATGCAGGAGCCTCTGGAGCCAGATTTCCCGGAACTGGAGTGGCAGGCCGGTGTGAGCTGCCACGTGGGTTCTACAAAGGACTCAGGTCCTCTGCAAAAGCATTCGGCACTCATACATGCTGAGGCATTTCTCAAGCCCCAGTACTTCTTTTTTTTTTTTAACGACATCTTTTTAATCAGAATAAAGTACATTTTCCCAAGAATAACATTTCCTGTGTTTACCATATCCAAATCATTCTCCCATTTGCTCCTTATAGCTCTATGACACTCACTGCCTTTAAATTACTAAGAATAGGGACTGGAGAGATGGCTCAGCAGCCGAGGGAATTTGCTGCTCTTGCAGAGGACCTATGTTCTGTTCCCAGTACTCACATGACTCACAACTGTTTCTAACTCCAGTCCTAGGGAACCTAACACCCTCTTCTGGCCTCTACAGGCACTAGGCACACACACACACGGTACAAAGGTATATATGCAGGCAAAATAACCACATAAATGCATACACACAATTATATTTTAAAGAGTTTGATACAATTTTAAGTTCTTGTTTGTTTTGTTTTTCTTTGAGACAGGGTTTCATTCATGTTCGCTAGGCTGGTCTTGAACTCTGCAGGTTACCAAAGAGGGCCTTAAGTTTTCTGATCTTCCTGCCTCTGTCTCCCCAGTATAGGGTTACAGGTGTATACCACCATACCTGATTTTATGTGATACAGAGGATCTAACCCAGGGCTTCTCGCATAGTAGGGAAATACTCTATTAACTGAATTACATCTCAAGACCAAGAGTTCAATAATTTTTTGTTTGTTTGTTTTTCGAGACAGGGTTTCTCTGTGTAGCTTTAGAGCCTGTCCTGGCACTCACTCTGGAGACCAGGCTGGCCTCGAACTCACAGAGATCTGCCTGCCTCTGCCTCCCGAGTGCTGGGATTAAAGGCGTGCGCCACCAACGCCCGGCGAAAAAGGGTATTTTTAAAAGGAATTCATATCATATAGCAACATTATCTGTAACATGCCCAAACTGGAAGCCCTCATCAAGAAGAATACAGCTAAGTGAATGATATCATAAGAACACTGAGACTGGACATTCCACAACTACATGCACACCAGTAAGTAAACAAAGGCAAATGCGCGCACGCGCACGCACACACACACACACAATTGAAAATAAAAAGGGGTATGGGGTGATGGTGCACACCTTTAATTCCAGCACTCAGGAGACAGAGGCAGGTGGATCTCAGTGAGTTCAGGGACAACATAGTCTATCTAGTGAGCTCCAACCAGGCTACATGGTGAGACCTAGTCTTCAAAATAATAATAATAATTCGGCATTGTGAACAGTCTCAAGCAGGAGACTCCTGTAGATAAACAGTCAGGTTCTGTTACAAGGAGTTGGCATTATTTGTTCCCAGATTTGACTACTCAAATTCATATTCCTGCAAGCAACTGAAGCTATTCACGCTTCTGTGAAATTCAGGTTGAATGTTCTGGAAGCATTAGTTACAAGTGCACATTGCATTGCTGGAGAAGTAAGCACAGTTAAGAAGGCATTAAAGATGATGGGAGACAGGCCATTGGGGATTCTGCAGCCGGGGCTGTGGTAGAGCGTCTGGATGGCATGTGTGAGGCCCTGGCTTCCACCCCAGCACCACCACAACCAGCACAAACATATAAAAGCAAAACTGCCTTATGGATGAAGCAGTTGAGTGGATTGAAACTCAAGGAATCCCATCTTCAGCCAACCAGAGACTTCAGATTGCTTCTATTTCCGAGATCATTCTGCCTAAAATAACTTCACTCTCATACCTAAACCTCTTCCAATCTTCCATATCATTACCCTATTCATTCTTCTTTTAATACTTAGGAGGTTGTTTTTTTCCAAAGTCTCACCATGTAACACTGCATAGCCCTGGCACTTTTTCCAGACAAAGTCTCACTATGTAGCACTGGCTAACCTGGAAATTGCTATTAGACCAGGTTGGCCTTGAATTCCCAGAGATCCACCTGCCTCCTAAGAGCTGAGACTAAAGAAGTAAACTACCATACCTAGTCATTTCAGGACATTAATAAATCATTTATGTTTTGTTTTATATGGTTGTGTGGTTCGGGTGATCAAGGCCATGGCTAAGTAGACGCTCAACCACTGAGCTATACCCCTAACATAAGCATACACTTGTTTAGTTTTCAGCGTCTTACATTCATCTTGCCTGCAGGTATGTCTGTGTGCCATGTGCATGCAGTGCCCTTGGAGGCCAGGAAAGAGAACTGTGTCCCCTGGAATCGGAGTTACAGATGGCTGTGAGCCACAGTACGGGTGCCGGAAACCCAACCCAGAGCCTGTGTGTTGACTGCCAGTGCTCTTAACAGGGGATCCATCTTTCTAACCTCCCGACCCCCATTTGTTGTATGACTCCATTACAAATATAAATTCCATCAAATGAAAACAATAATGATGTACATGAAAACGGAAATACAAAGTGGGCACAGTGGCACACACCTGTGGTCGCAGGCTGGAGACAATCTGAGACAGGAGGATGAGGAATTCACAGTCAGCCTCATTATATAGCAAGGCCCTATCTCAGAAAAGAAAATGTAGGCTGTTAAGATGGCTCAGCAGAAAAATCAATAACACCAATGACAGTCTATGCTGGAGAGGATGTGGAGAAAGAGGAACACACCTCCATTGCTGGTGAGAATGCAAACTTGTACAACCACTTTGGAAATCAGTATGGCAGTTTCTCAGGAAAATAGGAATCAGTTTACCTCAAGATCCAGCCATTCCTCTCTTGGGCATATACCCAAAGAATACACATTCATACAATAAAGACATATGTTCAGCTATGTTCATAGATGCATTATTTGTAATAGCCGGAACCTAGAAGCAACCTAGATGCCCCTCAACTGAAGAATGGATAGAGAAAATGTGGTACATTTACACAACGGAGTACTTACTCAGTGGAAAAAAAACAATGGAATCTTGAAATTCCAGGCAAAAGGATGGAACTAGAAGAAACCATCCTGACTGAGGTAACCCAATCACAAAAAGACAAATATGGTTTGTACTCACTCATAAATGATTTTTAGACATACAGCAAAGGATTACCAGCCTACAATCCACACTGCCAGAGGAGCTAGGAAACAAGGAGGACCCCAAGAGAAGATTGCATAGTCCCTCAAAGAAGGGGAGGAGGACAAGAACCCCTGAGCAAAGTGGGAGCACGGGGGAGGGGAGAGGAAGGAGGTAGGAAGGGAAGAAGAGGAGGGGGAGGAGAACAAGAGCCCTGAGACAGGGGAGGAATAGAGGAGGGCAAGAAAGGAGATGCCTTGATAGAGGGAGACAGTACAGGTTTGGAGAGAGGTCTGGCACAGGGGAAATGTTAGAGGATTCATAGAGATAACCCCAACTAAGAATCTAGGCAGTGGTGGAGAGGATGTCTTTGATGCCCACATTAATGTCTTTCTAGGTTACCATTCCTAGAGCCTTCATCCAGTAGCTGATGGAAGCAGAAACAGGCGCCCACAGCTAAGCACTGAACCATACTCGTGGAATCCAGTTGCGGAGAGGGAAGAGGGGTGAACAAAGGAGCCAAGATGGTGCTAGAGAAACCAGCAGAAACAGTTGATCTGGCCTACTGAGAGCATGGAGACTCTAGTCACAAAGCTGGGGAAACAGCATTGGACGAACCAAGCCCTCTGCATGTGGGTGCCAGCTAGGAGGCCCAGGCAGTCTATGGGATCTCTAACAGTGGAACCAGCGTTTATCCATAGAGTACAAATGGACTTTGGGAGCCCATTCCCTATGGAGGGATACTATTGCAGCCCAGATACAGCAAGGAGGGCCTAGGCCCTCCCCCAAATGATATGACAGAAGGTCCCGTGGAGGGCCTCACTGTCCCTGGGGAGGAGTTGGGGCGGAGTTGTTGGGAGCATGGGAGGGCGAGGGAATGGGGGGATGGATATGTAAATATGAGTGCCTCTAAAACAAAAAAAAATTTTTTAAAAAGGTGGCTCAGCAGTTAAGTGCTCTTGGCTGCTTAAGAGGACCAGAGTTCAAGTCACAACACCTACATGGTGATTCATCACCACCTGTAACTCCAGTCTCCAGGGAATCTCATGCCCTCTTCGGGCCTCAGTGGACACCAGGCATGCAAGTGGTACACACACAAACATATCAGCAAAGCAACTATACAAATGAAATAAAATTAATTTGGACAGCTCTTCGGGAGTCAGGGATAAACTTCAAGATTATCTACAAAGAAATTAGAAACAAAACACAGGAAAAATTTTTCCCACTAGACAAGAAATCCTTCCCTTGTGGAAAAGGAGGGGAAACAAAAGAAGAAACAAATGGCAATCTGGCATAGAGGAAATGTCATTAGTGACTCATTCAAAAAAGATCTAAGTTTTCTTTCCAAGTTTCATGTCTCTTCCCCATCAGCACGTCAGGGGTGCATCCTCCAGCCTTCCCCATCAGCATCTAAGAGCATCCTACCAGCAGCTGTACACCAACCATACCACGCCCCTGCCTGGTGAGCACTTACTCACCTTGGCTCCACCTTCTCTTCTCATCCCTCACAATCATCCAGGGCTCTTTCCCTTGTTCCAACAGGGTGATCACATCTGGCTTAGAAATGGAATGTCCTGCTTGAAAGAACATGACAGAAGACACGCAAAGAATGAATCTGTTTGCCAGGCGGGGTAATAATACATGGCTGTGACCCCAGCCCTTAAGAGGAGAAGGAAGGAGGATTGGGGTGTAGTTCCATGGCCACATAGTGAATGCAAGATGAGGTACAGGAGACTTTGTGTGGGGTCGGGGCACACACAGAGTTTTGTTTATCATCATCATCATCATCATCATTATCATCATTACTTGTTCTTTCAAGACAGGGTTTCTCTGTGCAGCCCTGGCTGTCCTGGAACTCATTCCGTAGACCAGGCTGGCCATAAACTCAGCAATCCACCCTCCTCTGTCTCCCGAGTGCTGGGATTAAAGGCATGTACCACCACCACCTGACTAATTTAGTTTTCTTGACTTTCGTTTTTATGTGATTGGGTGTTTTGCCTGCATGTATGTCAAGTACCACATGCATACGGTGCTCTCAGAGGCCATAAGAGGGTGTTGGATCCCCTAGAACTGGAGTTACAAATGGTTGTGAGATAGATGCCCTGTGGGAAGTGGCCTGGGGCAAGCTTACCCAGTGACACCAGGTGGCTGTAGTTCTCGAGCATCACATCTTTGTACAGATCCCTCTCGGAGGAATTCAGGCACTCCCACTCTTCCTGAGAGAAGTCCACAGTCACATCCCTGAACATGACCTCACTCTGAAATGACAAGCCCATGTGTTCCGTGTAAGATAAAACATGCCGGGGAGGGTGTCTAAGTCATTGTTCTATTGCTGTAAGGGAACACTGTGACCGAGCCAACTCTTACAAAGACAGCAATTAACTGGGGGCTTCCATGTGGTTTCAGAGGGCCAGTCCATGATCACAGTGGCAGGAAGCTGACAGGCGTGGCTCTAGAGCAGTAGCTGAGAGCTTTACATCCTGATACACAGGCAGAAGGCAGCAGGGAGAGAGAGAGAGAGAGAGAGAGAGAGAGAGAGAGAGACAGAAGACAGACAGACAGACACAGACAGACAGACAGACATGGGCTTGGTGTGAGCTTTTGAAGCCTCAAAGCTCACCCCTCCAACACCTCCTCCAACAAGGCCACACCTCTTATTCCTTCCCAAATGTTCCCCCTAACTGGGGACCATGTATTCCAATATATGTGTTACAGGACTTTTAATGCCACAGTCCATTCATTGTCCAGCTGAATAGAGTGTTTGGTTTGAGAGGCAGGGCTCACTTTCATTTGGCAAGAATTGATCAGAGAGTCCCTGGCAGACTCGGGATGGGAGAAAGAGTGGCCCCCCGGAAGAAAAGGCAGGTCCCAGAGAGTTGCAAGGCATTTTAGGAGCCAGGAGGCAAATGGTGGTGGGTGTGTTATGGCCATGGTGACTGTTTCAGGTTCTTGTATTTGTCCCCAAGTTTTATAAACGGTAAAAGAAATGGCTTCCTAGATACATTGGGGAGGGCCTAGACCCTGCCCCAAATTATGTGACAGACTTTGATGCTTCCCCCATGGGAGGCCTCACCCTCCCTGAGGAGTGGATGGTGGGTGGGATGGCAGTTGGTGGGTGGGGCATGGGAGGAGGGGAGGTAAAGGGAACTGGGATTTGTATGTAAAATAAGGTTGTTTTTAATTTAAATAAAAATTATTTAAAATGATTTGAACAAGAATATCAGTAGGAAGATCTTTAAGTGATTTATATGATATTAAAAAGCATTTAGCTTTTTTTTTCTTTTCTTTGGTTTTTCGAGATAGGGTTTCTCTGTGTAGCTTTGAAGCCTGTCCTGGAACTCGCTCTGGAGACCAGGCTGGCCTCGAACTCACAGAGCCCCGCCTGCCTCTGCCTCACAAGTGCTGGGATTAAAGGTGTGCGCCACCAACGTCCGGCCAAGCATTTAGCTTTTTAAAGATATGGAGACAAGCGTGTCAAGAAAGAAAGAAAGAAAGAAAGAAAGAAAGAAAGAAAGAAAGGAAGGAAGGAAGGAAGGAAGGAAGGAAGGAAGGAAGGAAGGAAATGGCTTCATACATGAGGCTATGGTGGCTATTCTCATTCGGACCCACAGAGGCTAAACAGATGGCTCAGCAGTCAAAAGCACTTGCTGTCCTGCAGAAGACCAGAGTTCCCAGCACCCACCCTGGGCACTCTTATCACACACTTGCAAACATACACACAGACACATAAAATTAACTAATGAAACCGTGAGGAAATATTTACGAGAGGATAGAGAAGCGGCTCAGAGCTTAAGAGCTCTGGCTGCTCTTGAAGAGGGCCCAGGTTTGCTTCCCAGGACCCACACAGTGACTCAGAACCCCCAGGAACTCTGGTTCTAAGGGAACTAGCATGCTCTTCTGACACTGAGGGCTCCAGCATGCATGCAGTGCACAAACATGTGGGCCACAGCATGCTTATGTCCATATGTGCATGCACACGTGTGTCACAGTATGTTTATGCCTTATGTGCATGCACACACACGTGTGTCAGAGCATCCATATGTCCATGCACGCGTGTGTGTCACAGCATGCTTATGTCCATATGTGCATGCACACACATGTGTCACAGTATGTTTATGCCTGTATGTGCATGCACACACATGTGGGCCACAGCATGCTTATGTCTGTATGTGCGTGCACACACGTGTGTCACAGCATGCTTATGTCTGTATGTGCATGCACACACGTGTGTCGCAGTATGTTTATGCTCATACATGCATCCACACACAGGCAGCATAAATAAATACAGTGTCATTTTTTTGAAGGCAGAATTTCAGATACAGAAAAGCCAACTTACATGAGCCATGATTCCAGAATTGCCAGAACTGGCTTGTCCCTCCTCAAGGATCATGCCCTGGAGAAGCT